TATAAGACTCATGTTTCAAACCGAATCAAAACACGAGTAGATGCAGCAATACCACGATGACAACTGTAATCAATTTTTCGATTTTTGAACACTAGAATAAGCCGAGATTACACATTAACACGTAGCAAATAATTTCGTTTAAAGTAAAGGAAAAAAAGAATAAACGAAAAAAGTTCTCTGCGTTAAAGAAAGGGGAGATCGTACACCCGCTGTTTATCCATTACAGAGAAGCGCCGTGCGTCTTTTATTGTTTCAATCGTGACACGCCGTGTCTTTCGACTATATATAAATCTATCCGAAAATAACGTAAGTATCGAAGAGTAATCTGTGTTTAAATTCTTACCTTGATAAGGAGGACCCGAACTCTGCATATTAACAATCGGCGATGATGATGAGGCAGCCGAGATGATGATCAAATGTCCTCCCGGCAAACTCGGTTCGAGGCTATAGAAAAGACACAATGAGTTAGTCGTGACATCTGGCGGGAATAATAATAATAATAATAAAATATATATTCTATAGTTACCAAGGATGAAAAATTTAACGCACACTTTGACCTATTATAAAATATCAATGCTTTTGTTACAGTAATTATCGTTTAGATCGTTAAATACAATTTAAACACGTAATCGTCAGATTACAAAAATTATTTTTAAAAATCGCAGATAAGGTATTTGTTATCGAACAAGTTTATTTTTTTTAATAGAAATATTCTTTAAAATACGGGATAAAAAAAAATGTTTTGAAAGAAAATTTATTGTGTGTATATTTTTCTGTTTCTCAAAGACAGAAAAATTCTTATTACCGAAAAAATATTCACATTGTAATATGATGAAATTCAGTGAGTCACACAGATGATCGCGCTAACTGTAACAAAATCGTACCGCTTATTCATTTATTCACTACCATTAACTTATTAATTACAATGTATAAGAATGTTGGAATAAATAGGTTCAAATAATAATAAATTATTCGTTCAAATTTAAAGACTGATTAAAACAAATATATTAAACGCACCAGTTAGATGCCTTCGAGAATTGCTCTTTAAAGTGAATATCGATAAAAGACAGATTAAAATTCGGTATATTATATTTATATACTGTATATTCTTTCTTCTGGTTTATATATATATATATATATAATTTAACATAAAGTCAGACAAATAATAAATACGTATATAATTCAAATGGAGCAAGTTAGAGAGTGACGTTGATGACGTCACAGTGCTGTCATGATGTCAAATTATGCAAATTTTCTAAAATGGCATTAAAAATACTCTCATATAATCATTTTAATATTATAGTTGACTTGCTGGAGCACACTTTTGCTATTCCAGTGAACTGCTTTGGCCAGGTTTGCAATATTCAAGTAAAACAAAATCTTTGTTACAGTTATTAGTTATAAAAAAACAGTAATATTGAAGTTAATGCTCGATATTTTTTTTTATCTTACTAAAAAAATTTTTTCTTACTTTTCAAGAAATGGGTGTCGATTTTTCACGCAAAATTCTTCGTATTTTTTGAAGCAAGTCTCTATATGATTTAAAATATTTTGAATAAGTTTAATTTTGGTTAAAATATTCAAAATTCTACAGACGTAAAACACTCTAATATAAATTTTAAAAAGTAATCGTTCGAAAAACAAAATGTTAAGTAAGAAATATACACGAAAACCTTTTGCGGTGTCGACAGTTATGAGTTTCAATGTTTAAAAATTCCTATACACAAAAAATAATAATTCTTTTGGTATTTTTAAAGATATATCAGTATTTTGTAATAAAGTATTCTTTCACAAAATACGAATAACCATCATTGTTATAATGCGAAATTTGAAAACATTTTACAGTATCTGTTTTATTAAAATACACATACAGTAAGACCTCGTTTAGCGCTTAGGATGCGTTCCTAGACGACAAAGCGCTAAATGAAACAGGATTAAACGAGGTCATTTTAACACAGTAAATAGGGAAAGGGAAACATGCAACCAAAAATAAACAAATTTTACTTTAAGTTATTTTTATATTAATTTGCATAATAATATATGTTACTTAACACACAAACATATGCACACAGAAATGTAAAGTTCATTTTTGTGATGAAGTCTAGTGTCATTTGTCCCATCATAAAGAAAATGTCAGTAGCAGGAGATATACATCCAAAACACCTTGTCTTGCTTTTGCACTCCTTTCAAAATCTGGATCATTTGCTACAATTTGATCAACAATTTCGGTTATTGTTATCAAACTTTTACTAAGGAAATCTGTAGCAAGTTCTTTGGGTTCTTTGTTTTCAGAATTACTATTTTCCAGTTCTACATGAATTCCTTGTTCTGCCAGTTCTTGAAGGTCCTGATTGGTAACCGTCACCAGAAACCTGCAGTAATGCTCAATATCCTGCTCATCTAAATCTCCTAGACCTGCTGTATCGATTAAGTTAATGATTTGGTCAATGATAGGCATTTCTCACTGAGAACCCTTGGATAACTCCAACCATACCTTTTTCCACACTATTTCATGCATTTATCAGAATTCTTGCCAAGTGAAGTCAATACTGCCTATGGCATCCATGATGTTATATTTTTTTCCAAAATTAAAACCAAACAAACACAGATTTAGGGGAAGTACAGCACTATGTTGAATTGCCACCCTTTTGCTGATTGGTCTGTGTTTGGGATTAATTGTATTATATAGGAATCAACGAAATGCAGCGATAATTCAAATCAGCATTAATTGAGGAAGCACTAAACAAGATCTTACTGTATTACATTATATAATACTTTTTAACAAAAATACATAGTCTTTTCAACATAAATATTTAAGTTTGTGGCATAATTTTGCAATCTGTTATAAGTTTGATATACTTGTATTTGTAACTGAATTGGTCATCTCAATTATTAATAAATACAAAAAGTTTTTGAAAAACATTTCTGTAAACTGTTATTGTTTTTTAGATTTATTAAACACATTTTGTAAATCAAGAAAAATAAATCATTGATGCTGCTAAATGTTTACTTACAGGTATCCCTTACTTAATGTGGGATTTGATTAATACACAAAATGAATTTCGGAAATTCCTTTATATATGTGACAGAAGTTTTAATTTATGCGGCTTTACCAGCTGTCTTTTCTTAACATAGATACTGTAATTTGAAGAATGCGGTTTTGCTGTATGTGGTAGGATTGAGGGATTAATTAACAGCGCTAATCAAGAGATACCTGTAGTAGTTTTCATAAATCAAAGTCCAAATAATGACTTTTAAAATACTATTATTGTTAATAATTAATGATATAGAATTTGTATCAAAACAGCTTTTTCTTTGCTTTTTATAACACATCCTGATAAGCATTATCAACAATTTTCATAATTTATAATGATTTAATATTTAAATTGTTANAAAATGGCAGAAAGTGAAATGGAAAATAGTGCACACTGTAATTTATCTAATTTTGAGACGGAAATTCTACTTGAATTAGTCAAAAAGTATAAATCTAAAATTGAAAACATAATTTTTCAATGATGTAGAAACTAAATTGTGACCAATTTGTTCTAGTATGTTTCTTATGCTCTCTTTTGGAAAACAGTATCGACAGTCGTAATCGTCCAATTGTTCAAGGTCATTTCTTCTTGGAGAAATAATCACCAACTTCTTCATTCCATACGATCTATATAATCTAGATATTTCACATTTTCTAGCATCTCGGCTTCGTCCTCGTCGAATGTCACCATTTTCCCCCTGAAATAGATCACTTTGTGCAGGCGTCAAACCCAGAGTTATCGTCTACTCACTGATTTTCTATAGTTAGAGTTATTGTGTTTGACTCAAGATTCAGAGTTGGTGAATACCAATTTACCAATAACTCGAGAGTTAACCCTAACTCGTGTTGGTGAATACAGGGGTTAATGAGGCAGGGGGACCTTATCAGAACTGTGGATCATGTCCATAGGGGTAAGAAAAAGTGTCAAATGAACCCTTTGTGAGACATAGCCCCCCCAAAATCAGCTTATCTGGAATTTTGAAGACCCTGAAAATGGAATAAAACATAGAAGTAAAAATATCCAAAACTATTTCTTAAAACAATGCTAAAAACTAGCTGTTTTCCATTTTACTATAGAGATGGATAAAAATTCATAAAACATGAGAAACATGACTACTTCCAGAGTGTGATTGGAGTCATATTGCATGCTCTTTACTAAGCCAATCACATGTTTATAGGGTGATTTCAAGAGCTGTATCTTGCTGTCAGTTCCTTTGACTTCTTTTACTCCTATGGGCATAGTCTACAGCTCTAAGGTCTCAACTGCCTAATTAAGAGCTGCAATTTTATCACCTTAAAAACTGAGACATCATGCCTCACTAAGGTACTGTAACTGCAATTTTCATTTTATTATACAGTATTTACATACTGATTTATTGTTTTTGTTTTATTTTATTATTTAGGCATTTAATTGTATTAACTTTACCTAAAATTATGTATATTTACTGCTTCATTTTATCTCATATTGGGATTTATAAACATTGTTTAGGGTCTGGGAATGGATGAATTCACTTTCCATTATTTCTAATGAGGAAAACTGATTTGGATTTCAAACAATTCAGAGTTCAAATAACCTCCTGAAACAAATTAAATTTGAAGTATGAGGCACCACTGTAATTATTATAATTTTATTTATTCTAATAAGTAGATTTATATCTATATATACTTTTAAAAAATAATTCTAATTACAAAATATAAAACATATTTTATATATATATAAACAGTTTAAAAAAAGCATTAAATTTAAGAAATTACTCTATTTAGTATATAAATTATGTATATATATTAATTTCATTCTTAATTTTTTTTTAATTTGAAGTAATTTGTTTAAAATATTTTTATAATATTTAAAACAAATTATTATTATATTAAATCACACTTGAGATTTTATTACTTCTATATGTTAAATTTCAAAGTAATATTTAATAAATATTATTAAATATATTCAATAAATTGTAGCGTCTTATTTTTGTGTAAAAAATTTAAAGATTATATTTGGTAGAAATTTAAATAAACTATTAGAAGAAAATGGAATACCTAAATAATAGTATTCTGTGACAATTTCTACAGATCCATGAATCCAAAATCATTTATCCAATCAGTTGACGTGCTTCCTTTCCTGAAAACAATTATCTTTGTTTTACTTAGCTTTACATTTTAAATGATGATCTTCACAAATACTTAATGTCAATTATATTGAATTTACATTTAAATAACGATCTTTTAGTTGTAACCAATACATGATGATGAAATACAGTTCATTTGTTATTTGTAATATATATATAATTTTTTAATTCTAACAGATTATGATGATTTTAAAAAGTAATGATAAATACTGTTTCAATAATTATGTTTTTAATAATGAATTAATGATAAATAAATATTAATACTTTTTATCATTAGACTATCATCTAAAAATATCAGTGGTCAAATGAAAAGAAAACTTGTGAGAAGCAGTGGCAGAAATTTAGTAATATCACAAAACCAATGACATCTGACTGGCTCATCACATGTCACCAACTCCCCAATACAGTATTAGCTCATTATTGTTATTAAAATTAAATACTAAAATAATTGGAAATGTCTCATATTATACAAATGACTTAGAAGATATTAAGAAAGAATTTCATAGTAAAAAGCTACATAAAGAAGAAACATTACTGAAAATTAAGGCAATAGTTTATATGAAAAATCTTTAACCATTTGTGCCTACAAACATTTTAAGCGGCAATCCATGAAGTCTGTATATAATTAAAAAAAAACTATTTTGAACAAAAATTTATTTGAGGAAAGGCTTCCAAGATAATTAGACATGCTTAGAAACGAATCCAACAAAATCTTCAAATTATTATTTAGAGCCTAAACCCTGAATTATCTTTCAGTTGTTCATACAGCAGTGGGAGAAAAAAAATTAATTTCAGCCTTGTAAAGGGTTATCCCTGATCTTATTTATTTATTTAGAATTTCAAATTCTATTTCTCAAGTCCTTCATAAATAAATGTTCAAGTATTTCTTACACAGCATGACACTAACAAGCATAATTGGCTCATGTTGCCAAACTTGCATTGTTTCTTACAAGTCATCTTTTCATTTGATCACTTGGCATAACTGAAACCAAAGCAAATATGATTCTAGTAAAAAATCATCATAAATCCATAAAGATATAACAAAAACTATTTCAATTTTTTTGATACTTTAATTAATTAATTAAAAAAAGCATTATATTAAACATTATTCATTTATATATAGTTTACTTTTGCTGTATACATATTTTCATATTGCCTCAATGTTTTGAGATATTAAATATATTTCAACTTCAGAAGCAAATATTTTTACTTCATAAAAATTTAAAAACAAAATTATCTTAAAAATTTTAATTTTTACTTAGTAGTTTATTTCTATTATACTTAGATATTTGAGTTAGGTTTATCAGAAATTTCTTTGTCTAGTGATATTAAATTTTAATAAATGAGTATTTAACATAGTTTAATAAAAATATAATTATGCTATCAATAGATATAAAAAGCATGGATTTCTTAACTCAGAACAGACATATCAAATTAAAAAACTCTTCATAAAAAAAATTCATTTGTTCTCTGCTCATATAACACTATATCCAATTGAATCAGTTTTGAAGTATTTTGAGAGCAATATTTTGACTTTTTGGTGATGTTTCTTATTTTAATTAGGCTAATGTTATCTTGAGTTATAATAGAGTACGAATGCATAAAATGTCTTAGTTGTGCTCCTCTAAACTTATTTCAATATTTGCATTCTACTTTAACTCATATAAATAAAAAATAGTTCAATGTCAGTACGAATATATCAACAGAAACATGATCTTAGTAATTGATATGTAAAATTTCCTATTTTCTTTAGAGAATTGGTAACTAATAAAATAAAAGAATGTATTTTTATTGGAAATAGGAAAAATCTTATGTTCCTCATATTTACATACTTGTTTGAGTCAAATCCCACAGTTCACACACTTTTAGCATTTGAACTTATTTGAACTGTAATGAACTAAACCTCACAAAACATTGTGTTTTGGTTAGAAACTGAAATATAATATATATCAAACTCTCATAGAACTGCTTTTGATGGGTAAGAAAACTTGTTTCATATTCTACCAAAAAACATTCAAAAATTAGCACTTTGGTGCCAAACATGTATACATGGTTTCTAATATTTTACTCAATTGTAATGCTAAAGTGCATCCAAAATCTTAAAATACTTATATCTGTTGTAATATTTTATTTGATTTTTAATTTAAATGTATTATTCCTTTAAGTATATTGTATATGCTTTGTTTGACAGAAAATTTTTATTTATTATTTTATGTTTATTTTTGTGTTCACTAATAGGAAAAACTCATAATTTTGCATAAGCAAATTATTTTCATTTATTAATAAGTGAATATCCTTTATGCATTTTATACAGCAGCATGACTATGATGAGCACATAAAACTAATTGCACTATCCAACATGATTTCTACTTCTGAGGAAATAAAGATGGTTTCTTATCAATTCCAATGCTACATTTTGATAATTAGCAAGAAAATGTCATGTCATGTCACAGTTTTCAGATATTGAAGCCTGTACTTCAGGTATCTGTGCATTTACCAAACAGATGATGTAATATCAACATTAGGAATTAGTATTATAGTAAAACACTTTCAGTAAAGCAAGCAGATAAGATATGAAACTAATACCCCATGTTTTTAAACTGAATGTATTGCTTAACCAAAATTAAGTTTTGCTGCTAGGTTTCAAAATAGCTTGTTAAGATTCCTCTGCCTGATGCTATTCAAATAAAATGTATCTTCATTTACACTCAACAAATTAATCTTCAAAATTTAATAAAATGCAACTGTAACTGGATAGACTGTAGTAATTTTTGCTAATTGAAACATCAGATATGGTTTAGTCAAAGTAAAAATCCACCTTCACTGATTTGTTAATGGTCAAAAAGACTAGTAGTACCTCTTTTATTTTTTTATTTTATTTTATTCTATTTTCATTTTACCATATGTTATAAAACTTAGATACAAATAAACATTAATATGAATAAAAGTCATATTCAGCTTGTAGAACAGCTGCTTCTATTGCAAAATTTTGATATTCTGTAGATAACCCTTTAAACAGGGTTTGGATTCTGTGTAAAAATGTAGATTCCCATCTTTATAAATATCCAATATTCAAAATAGTGTAAATAAAGAAACAAAACTGCATTAGAATGATTTTCATGGGCATATGTGCTATATTCATATGCTGTACTGAGTGTGTACATAATATAAACATGTGTCTGTTTCTTGATCCTAGGATGATAAGAAAATCTAAAAGGAATTTTTGAAATCAGGAGAATTTTTCTATATGAATCATCTATTTTAATGCCAGAAATATAAAATTTTTTCTCGGATAGTGTTTTTATTGAAGCAGTTCATACGAATATAATAGTCTCCAAAAATTCTGATGATAATATTTTTTTTAATATAATAAGCAGGAGGATACCCAAAATGTTAAAAAATATTAGATATATTATGTTAAAAATATTTATAAAAACATTGCATGATTTGTTACGTAATGTTTTTGTAAATATTACATTTTTATATGTTTGAAATGAATACAGAAATCCTTGAGCCATAGAATAAACCTTATTGATCTGGCACTGAATATATTAAACAATTTATAAATTATCATAATTTCCTGCATATTACCTGCAGTGGTAATATGCATATTCAATTCAGTTGTTTATCGCATAAACCTTAGTTTGTTACAAGGGGGTTAGTTAAACTCTAATATAAAAGTTTATAATATTTAACAACTTATTATAAAATTATTTTATTTTGTATTATCTTGTACTAAGCTATTATAGTAATAATAAAGCTTAGTATAAGAAATACAAAATAAAATCCACAATAATAATAAATTTTTTAAAACATGATAAGTTAATATCTTTCCAAGACTTAAATCCCATCAAATATCTTTCCCTACTTGGTTGAAATTTCACACAATGAAAGAATATATTTTCCCAAGTTTCATATTCTTGCATACTGCAATTATTACAAATTTTCTCAGAATCTACTACTAGTTTATTATTATACATTAAAATATAATTTTGATCACATCTCAGTTAAAAAAGTAATCATTTTTACATAATAATTTATGTCCATAAACAATTAATCCTCATACAAAAAATTTATTTATTTATTTACAAAATGTTATAGTGATGTCACAACGACAATAATGGCTGACCCCAATAACAAAACAAGAATGACCCATAAAGTTAAAAATAGGACTAAAAATACAATTAACAGAAAACAAATACATGTTTAAAAAAATTTAATTAAAGATGTGATCATAAAGAATGTGATGCAGAATGTGATCATAAAGAAGTTTTTACAACTGGATTTAAATTTTAAAAAAATCAAGAAAGAGTAAATCTTCAATGGTTACAAGTCTTTTGATATCTGTAGAAAAACAATTTAAGTTGTAACATTAAGGCGAGCAAACGAAAAATATAAACAGGAAGAATCTCCAGAGTTAAAAAAGGAACCTGTAAAAGAAAAAATTTAAAAGGGAGGAGATCATCAAAATATTTATAAGAATATATTCTGTCAAAATAATCAATTAGTTTAAAAAACAAGGAGAACCCAAGCACACATGAGCAACCTCAAGAGAATTAGTAGAGGGGAGGTTTTCAAGCTTATTTAAAAGGAGGTAGATTTTACCAACTCTGAATGAAATTTATGCAGAGTAGAAGCAGAACCAATGTCTTGAACAGTTTCAGCTAAATCTAAAATGTGGTTATCAATATAAAAAGTTCTGTAACAACAAGCTATAACCAGGCTATAAATCATGATTTTGGTTTTACTAATATTAATTTGTATATTAAGTTTCTTAAATGAGGAATCAAGGTCATTAATATCACTTTGCAATAAGTCGTGACAAGTGTTAGCAAGTTTTATGTCAATTTAACACTACAATATACTTAAAAATGCTTGTTCTTTTCCAATAAAGACAAATCTTGTATGTTTTGTTCACAACACACTTTTAGAAAAAAAGGATTGATAGCTTTCAAATCAGATGAGAATGTGGAGACAACCATAGAAAAGAGAA